CGTTCGAAAGACCGTCGTCTGGCGGCCAGCGACGGCAAATTGACGCCTGCCGCTGGTGTTGTGTTTTCACGCCAGGAGACTGTACTGGACTGCCGAAGAACTCGGTCTGACCGAGGCAGCTCGCTGGTGGCGTAGGGAGGCCACTGTCCGGCGTAAGCGCAGTGGCAGATGCCTTTGCGTTCTTGAAAAAAAATAGGCAGCTCTTTAAAACTCTAATAATGCGACTTCAAAAGAAAAGATCGAGTGCGCGCGTAGGTTTATTTTAATCAGGCGTTCAGCAGTCGGTCGATGTTATGCGCGGCCACATAGTCCAATTTTCCGAAACTCCACTTAGATTTTGGGCGAAGGATTTTGGTGTGTAAACGCCCGATCAAGGCGTTTCCTGCAATATAATCGGTTCCTTTCAAGACTGCTGTTCCCACAATCCTCTATATAGGCCACCAAATCAAGTTTTGTGTAAAGTACCACTTAAAGGAAGAAAACATGACCAGTTTGGCTTTTCGTCCTACCACATATAACAAGAGGCCCTACAGGAAGGTTGGACAAAATGCCGCGGCCACTGAACTCAATAACCATAAAACATCCCGAGAAAGGCAAAAAAGGAAGTAAAAGTGGATTTTTGAAAACAGAAGTTTACCCGGAAAAACGTCAACAACAACGACTCACCTCAGCTAGGCGAACTTTACTCGACAGAGAGTTATCAGCAGCATTAGAAGAGGAAGCCCGGTCAAACACAATATGATTTTTGTTCACAAACACCGTTCTCTCACCTAGAGAAAAAGAACGCGACGAATATCGTAATTTCGCATGCAAGTATTATATGCGAATAGACAGGAAGTAGATGAGAGCAGAAATGATAACAAGGCAATTTTGCGAAAGTATTTAACGGGCAGCCGACCAGTCATGTACGAAGTGGGACAAAGACACCGTTGGTTGCTAACAGAAACGCCCTGACAACAGCATGTTGCTCGAGAAGATGCTACCAAGGGTTAGCGAAGTGCTGGCCTATTGGAACTGTCGCATTAAGCCCCAAAATAGATAAGGAGACCTGGATGGAGGGGGGGGGAAGAGTGGTGATAGTAGGGCAGGGAAATGTCTAGAATAGACTGCCGTGGGCGTTAGTCTGGGAATAAATTCTTTCCGTTTACCGTCTCTTAAGCGTAAATACGTGTTACTGGCATCGGTAAAGTCAGACAAATTTACACTTAAACTATAAAATTGATGTTCCTTTTGAAGAAAAATATCATCGAAAAGCATGCAGCAAATTCCCCGGATGAATTCTTATACACTAAGAATACCACTCAAACAATAGTTCGGCAAGTCTTTTTCATAAAAAATATAGCGTCCGGCAACAAAGTCCGGCCGAAAGTGAAGATCGCCAGGACTATAATTGTGCTCTCTTAGTTTGAACTAACGAGCAATGGCAAAAATGGCCTGAGAGTTATGAAATAACTAAGGGCTTAAGAAAAAGCCCCTTGTAATCAACTGCTGTAAACTTTGAAGAGGAAATAAGTACGACAGGTTTTCAGAATTAAGTATGAGTCAAAAAGACAAACCAGAACGTGTGTTTCCAAGCTGCTCTGAAAGTCTATTAGATTCCTGATCTAGCTGAAACATTGCTCTGAGATCCTTGGGTGAGGAGATAACGGAAGAATGAATTGAGTAACGGTCGGAGAGTTGAAGAAGTCGCTGTAAGGCACACAAAAGAATAATTAAGTAAAACTACGATAAAGGCGATAATTTAGGAAGCAGAAGGGTTCAACCTGCGAACGAACCTGCATGAGAGATTCTAATTCCTTCATGGTGGTAGCGTCCCATGCCCGGGTCTTGACCTCATTGTAGCGGGACAGCAGACGAACAAAATGCAGTTCAGCGGAGTCCCGACCGTCTAGAACAAAAAACTCCGAGATCAGACACGTTTCCAATATACACATGTGTTTGCTAAAATGTACAAGTAGAAGATTTATAACAGCAAATGACACGAACGCACTTGGTATCTCAGGCCGAGACTGGGGAGTGTCGTTTAGCTCGGGCGATGCGGAAGAATTAGGTTGGCTGTAAACTGCGCTGTCAGAGGAGGCGGGTTGGGAGTCGGCAGTTGAAGTGCGAGCAGACGGCCTTTCCTTTACGCCGGTTTGGCCACTGCCGCAGTCTGGAGAAGAACTATTAAACGACAGTCGTCTATTGACTGCGTTTTCAGCTGTTGCAGCAGTAGTAGCAGCTAAGCGAGACGCCAAGGAGGACATCTGGCTCTCCACTTGCCTGTCATTATCGAATCCACTTCCTGTAATAGCACCGAAAGCGCAAAAATGACAACCAAACAATACGCACAACGGCGATGCCAGTGATAAGGGCTAAAAAATAACACGGGGAAAATTCCCTCGCCGTAGGGGTAGCGGACGCACTTACCGGAAGCCCATAGGCATTGGGCAGAACGATAAGTCTTCTGCAGCTCCTCTAACTCCTCAGTGAGCACGTCGAGGAGACGGAGCCTATCAGGGCCCCAAGGTTGGGGCTGCCACTCAAAATCAGTCAGCTTTTCGTCAATTAGGGCTAATGCGAACCGTAATTGTGATAGTAGAGACGATGCGCCTGCGTTGACC